AGGGTGCCTTTGCTTACAAACAGAGCAGCAATGCAGCTGGAGACCCATTGACAGGAGACAAGCAGATACCACCTCTAGGACTGAGGAGCACCTGGGGCAGTGTGGGGAGGCAGAAAAGTGACTTCTTACACAGGTGTTGCCAGACTGTCACTCGAAGAATCTCTGGCATTTTGGGAGGCCAAGGCAGGCAGATCACTTGAGGTAGGGAGTTTGAGACAAGTTTGGCCAAAATAATGAAACCCCGTCTCTACTAAAAATACAAAAATTAAGTGGGTGTGGTGGTGGGTGCCTGTAATCTCAGCTACTCAGGAGACTGAGGTGGGAGAATTGCTTGAACCTGGGAGACGAAGACTGCAGTAAGCTGAGAACATGCCACTACATTCCAATCTGGGTGACAGAGCAAGACTGTGTCAAAAAAAAAAAATCTCTGGGATTTCCTCTTTGTGAAGCCTGGGGGTGGCACGGGGCCTGTGATGGTTAATTTTATGTGTCAACTTGGCTGGGCCATGGTGCTTAGATAGTTGGCCAAACATTCTGGATATTTCTGGGAGGGCATTTTTTGGTGAGATTTACATTTAAATGGGTGGACTTTGAATAAAGCAGACTGCCCTCCCTAATGTGCAGGTTTTGGGGAGTGCAGAGGGGCATTCAATCAGCTAAAGGCCTGAGTAGCGCCAGAGACTGACCTCCCCTGAGCAACAGGGAATCCAGCAGCTGACAGCCTTTGAACTTGAACTACAGCCTTGGCTGTTCTTGGGTCTCCAGCCTGCCAGCCCGCCCTGCAGACTTTGGACTACACAGCCTCTCTAATCACATGAGCTAATTCCTTAAAATAGACCAATTTATATACACATCCTATTGATTCTCTTCTCCTTCTTCTTCCTGAGACAGGGGCCTTGTGCTGCTGTCCAAGCTGGAATGCAGTGGTGTGATAATGGCTCACAGTGGCCTCAAACTCCTGGGCTCAAGAAATTCTCCTGCCTAAGCCTCCTAAGTAGCCGGGACCACAGGTGTGTGCCATCATGCCCAACTAATGTTTAAGAATTATTTTGCAGAGACAAAGACTGGCCATGTTGCCCAGGCTGGTCTTGAACTCCTGGCCTCAAGCTATTTTCCTGCCTTGGCTTCCCAAAGTGTTAGGATTACAGGTGGAAGCCACCATGCCTGGCCTGGTTCTGTTTTTCTGAAGAACCCTGACTAATACATTGCCTATAGTTGCAAAATTAAGTTGTAGTGATCTCATGGGTAAATATAGGCAAAGACATGTCCTGCCTGGCCCCCGAAATTATCAGGGTCAACTGTGTTACAAACCTAACTTGGGTCCACTTTCCCTGTGCTGCAAAGCCAAATACTGACGTGGGGATTGGCATAGAGAGAATGTGAGGCATTGGTGAGGCATCGCAGGATGCCAAGCAAGGAGAATCAGGCAGCTAAGGCGCAGGACCTAACTCTTCTGTGGCTTACCCGTAAGGGTTTTCAAGGTGGGGAGGCAGCGGTCACCAGCAAAGACAGAAATCAGTACATGGAGGCTATACGTCGGTTTCACCTGAAAAGGTGGGACATCCTAAAGCAGGTATTCACAGGTCGTAGGTGGATTCGAAGATTTTCTTATTTGCAATTGGCTAAGGGGGAGAAATTTTGTCTAAAAACTTGGGGTCAGCATAAAGAAATGTTGAGCTCTGGGCTTTGGTGTGGCTTCCTCCAGGTCCCTAAGGAGGAAATTTAGAACAAAGAACAGCAGTCAGGGTTCAGTCCTCAGCTCCCCCTTATCTGAGGTCTGTGTGCCATCAGACAGCAGTTTCCAATCAGTGGGGTCTGGGTTTCTGAAAAACAACTCAGGGACATCAATTAAGATGTTATCTTGGCCAGATGTAGTGGCTCACACCTGTTATCTCAGCACTTTGGGAGGCCAGGGTGGGCACATCACTTAAGCTCAGGAGTTCGAGATCAGCTTGGGCAACATGGCAAAACCCTGTCTCTACTAAAACAAAAATTAACTGGGCATGGTGGTGCATGCCTGTAGTCCCAGCTACTTGGGGAGCTGAGGTTAGAGAATGGCTTGAACCTGGGAGGCAGATGTTGCAGTGAGCTGAGATCATAACACTGTACTCCAGCCTGGGTAACTGAGAGACTCTGTCTCAAAAAGAAAAAAAAAATTACCTGTAGTTTCCATGGGAAACCAAATATTTTGTGGTTCTAACTTTCTTGGCTATCGTTTTAAACTGTTATTACTTCTCGCTTATCAGGTTGCTCATTTACTTCTCAGGGCTAGCCTGGAACAGTTACCTATCGGCATCTGACAAATTACCCTGAAATGCGGTGGTTTAAAACAGCAAATCTGCATAATCTCAAGCAGTTTCTGCACTTTAGGAATTTTCCCTGAAGGAACTCAAGATTTTCCTTTATTTCCATGCTTAGGATGGGGCAGGACTTTTGGAGGGGTCCCTGCTCTGTTTCAGCCGGGAAAGTACTTGGGGCTTGTCCTGGCTCTTCCCACTGGGCCACCTTGGTGTTTCACAGAGGATGCCAGCAGCCATCGCTCAGGCATTGCAGGTATCTGGAGCCCAGAGGAGCCATGTGCTGAGAATTTTCCTTGCCCTGGAAAAGGGGACAGGCAGGGTGAGTCTCCCCACCAAACCCCGACCAACTCCATGACCTACTCCAGCAGCGTTCTCTGACCATTTTACAGAAGGGAAGACTGATATCTGTACCTACAGATGTTTTGTTTCCAGCCTCTCAGATTCCCTATCCCTTACCTGGAAAAGATTAATGCTAATAGCCAGGGCACTGGGAGCCAGGCAGGCATAAAATCCAGGGATCTCTACCTTTTTTTTTTTTGAGACGGAGTTTCGCTCTTGTTACCCAGGCTGGAGTGCAATGGCACAATCTCGGCTCACCGCAACCTCTGCCTCCTGGGTTCAGGCAATTCTCCTGCCTCAGCCTCCTGAGTAGCTGGGATTACAGGCACGCGCCACCATGCCCAGCTAATTTTTTGTATTTTTAGTAGAGACGGGGTTTCACCATGTTGACCAGGATGGTCTTGATCTCTTGACCTCGTGATCTACCCGCCTCGGCCTCCCAAAGTGCTGGGATTACAGGCTTGAGCCACCGCGCCCGGCCATCTCTACCTTTATTATGCAAATTTCCCTGAATTTGTCCTTGTGTTCTCCCTGGTGTCCCCAGTCCTATAACCTTCTATGTCATCCTCTTTGGAGAATGAGCCTCCAGCCTTCTGTAAAGGTGGGGAAGGTGGATCCCTCCTCCTCTTTTATAAATGCTGTCTTTGTCCCACTTTCTGAAGTATCTGTCTGTGGCTGCCAATGTTCCAGTCTTTGGGAAGGTCATCCGTATAAATGGGCTGCTTCTTGGCTTTCTCTACTGCTGACGAAGGATTCCACTTTCTCGGATCTGCTAAGTCAGTTAGCCTTTCTCCCTCAGCTTTTCAGATTCCAAACATCTGCTGCTTGTGTCTCCTTCCATGTTCTCTTTGTTTTTGGGGGGGTACAGCCTGGACAAAGGCTTAGAGGTTGAATGGCATAAAACAGGGGCTTCTAATATGTGCTCAACATCGTGCTAAGTACATCACATCTATTTGCTCATGGAATCCCTACTCACCTCTACGGGAAAATGGGGACACAAAAGAACAAAAGACACGAACTGGCATCAAGTGGCACAGTCAGGAAGAGGTCGCACCAGGATTGGAAGCCAGACAGCTTGGCTTGAAAGTCCACATTCTTAGCACCCCACCCCAATGCCACATGCAGTGTAGTCTATGTGGGGAGGAAGTCACTTCCTGGGGCCAATATGTCTTTAAGAATGGACACTGTTTTAACCTGTAACCTGTAGAATATCCTTCAGATAATATTTTCAAGACAAACATAAGTACAGGGAATATCCTCATGAACTTTCAGGTTACTCTTAGGAGTCTTACAAACAAAAGAACTGTTGTGTCCTGTGTGTACCTCCAGGCTGAGACATCAGTTCCTCCCATGAATGCTTTGGACTCAGCTGTGGGTGGGGACAGCCCTACCCACCACTTCTCTGCAAGGTGTGCAGGTGTTCACTAGCGATTGTCCTCTTGGAGGCAAAGTGTCCTCTTACCCATGTGGCCCTGCTGGTTCCTTAGTGGTGGGGACTGTGTCCTTTATCTCCCTAGTCCTTAGCACAGCTCTTGACACACAGTAGACGCTCCACAGACATTTGTTGCATGCATAGATTAATGCTGCTCCCTCCCCATCTCTTCTCTCCACTGGTGATCCCATAACCTGGCTGACCGCCCCCACAGCAAGACCTCTTCTGATACAGTTTGGATTTTCGAACCTGCCCAAATCTCACGTTGAGTTCCAATCCCCAGTGTTGGAGGAGGTGCCTGGTGGGAAGTGATTAAATCATAGGACATTTTCTAATGGCTTAGCAGCATCTCCCTGGTGCTGTCTTGTGATAGAGTTCTCCTGGGATCTGCTTGTTTAAGAGTGTCTAGCACCCACCCCTGCCCGCCTTTTCATTCTTCTCCAGCCATGTGAAGATGTGTCTGCTTCCCCTTCACCTTCCTCCATGGTTGTCAGTTTCCTGAGACCTCCCCAGAAGCAGAAGTCTACACAGGCCTGCAGCACTGTGAGCCAATTGCCTCTTCTCTTGATAAATTACCCAGCTTCAGGTATTTCTTTATAGTAGTATGAGAATGGACTAGTACACCTCCCCAGGCACACACATACCCAGCTGTTACCCAGGACAGTCAAGCCAAGTTGACTGTATCCTTCCCCATTTCTTGGTTTCCAACCCTCTTGGCCTGGCCCCGTGTCTGGCCCCCAGCTTGTCTCTTGGGCATGAGGATGGAATGCAGCTGTCTGCCTCTGAACCGCAGGCTCAGGTTTTAGCTCTCTCCAATGCTGGAGGCTCTGGTGGGGGATAGACTAGTCATATATTAAGGTACACTGTAACAAAGGATCCCCAGCTACAGCGGTTTATGTAAGATGGAGGTTTCTTCCTTTCTCACTCACGTCTCTAAAGGCAGGCAGGCCTGGCAGACGATTGGCCCATCGTGAATGACTTGCTGTGGTCAATGGCATGTGGGTAGAACCGACGATGTTCTAGAAAAGCCAGGCTGTGAGAGGCCTTGCAGGTTGCTGCTGCCCCTCCTGTTCTCCCGCTTTTCATCATAAGAAGCATCATCCCCAGCCAGCCTGGTGGCTCAAGGAAGGTGATAGAAAGTCGAGCAGACGAAGACCAGAGCTGCAGCCCCAGCTCCCAGCTGAGCTCAGCCGGAGCAGGAGACTCTCAGCCAGCCTGCAGGCACAGTGGAATGAATGCTTCCTGTTTTGTGCCATGGAGATTCTGTTCCTATGACGGTGACAATCCAGAATGGACAGGAGGTTCTGCTCCATGAAGCGGTTCACGGGCCCAGGTTAGCATCCACCCCACCAGCCTAGCATACAGCTCCCCTCTGTCTAAGACAGTGGTTCCAGCCACTGGGAAGTATGGGGCAAGTGGCTCGACTTCAGGAAACTGACAGCACTTCTGCACATATGTCATAGGGCTGAGTTCATTACACAGCCACACCTAGCTGCATGGAGGGAGGCTGGGAAATACAGGCTTGCTGTGTGCTGAATTCCCCCTTCCAGATTCGTATGTTGAAGTCCTGACCCCAGCACCTCAGAACATATTTGGAGACGGGATCCTTAAAGAGGTGATTTAGGTAAAATGAAACCATTAGGTTGGGCCCTAATCCAATGACTGGTGTCCTTGTAAGAGGAGGAGATTAAGACACAGACACACAGAGAGGGAAGACCATGTTTAAAGTGGCTTTTTTTGGTCTTACTATTCACAGTGGACCTCCCAAGCCAGGCAGGCCAACCCTTCCAGCCAGGGAAAGTGTCCGTCTAGCTGCCCTCTTCGGGGTTGCAGCCTGTGCCCCAAGGGGGCACTGGAAGCAGGAGGGACCCTGGCCGGTGCAGGGAAACCTGAACAGAAGTCTGCACACTCAAGCCCACTTGATGTTCTTCTCCTCCTCAGTCATGGCCGGCGTGTCAGTGACTAGACTGGTGCTGATGGTCCCGTTGCCATCTCGAAGGGTGACATGCTGGCCTTTCTCTAAGATCATTGGCTGCTGAAAGATTAGGTTGAGCTTCAGGTCTTCCTGGGCATAGCAAGCTCCTCTCTGGGGGCAGGATAACCCGACAGGCCATGTCCTAAGTTAGGGAGAACATGATAGGATGTACTGGGACACAAAGGGCTGTGGTGGCCACCTTTCTCCTTGCTGAGGATGTAAACCTGGGCCTCCACCTTGGGAAAGAGCTGGAGGGAACCTGCTTGACCACGACCAGGCGGACCATAGGTCCTCCCTCTTCAAGCCTCAGACCAGGCCCCTGAGGTTATCTCCAGCCTCGGCCCTCTCTAGGCTCTTGAGGACCATCTCAGTGCTGGTCACCACAGTGCAGATGCTCTTACTGTGTCCCAGAAGCTCACAGTCATCTCCCTTCTTTAAAATGCCACGTTCTAACATACCTGTTGCCGCAGAGCCATGGCCAGGGATGGAGTACCCTGACTCCATGGGCAGCAGGAAAGGCTTCTCCGGGTCCCGGGTAGGCACTGGGATGTAAGTGTCCACAGCATCCAGAAGCTTCTGCACAGACTTCAGGCCTAAGTCAGGCCTAAGTCAGGGTCCCAATCCTCAAGGGCACAGAGAGCAGAGCCTACAATGAGTGGGGTCTCCTCCCCTTTATAGCCAAACTTGGGGAGCAGCTCCCGGATCTCCAGCAGCTCCACCGGCTCCACCATCTGAGTCCTGGACAGCGTCAGCCTTGTTCACACACACTACCACATGCTCCACCCCAATCTGTCTGGCCAGTAAGAAGTGTTCTCGGGTCTGGGGCATGCGGCTGTCATTGGCTGCTACCGCCAGGATGCAGCTGTCAAGGGGTGTGGTGCCTTGATCATATTCTTTTTCTTTTTTTGTTTTTGAGACAGTTTCGCTCTTGTTGCCCAGACTGGAGTACAATGGTGCGATCTTGGCTCACTGCAACCTCCGCCTCCTGGGTTCAAGCAATTCTCCTGCTTCAGCCTCCTGAGTAGTTGGGATTACAGGCATGCACCACCACGCCTGGCTAATTTTATATTTTTAGTAGAGACGGGATTTCTCCATGTTGGTTAGACTGGTTTCGAACTCCCAACCTCAGGTGATCTGCCCACCTCAGCCACCCAAACTGCTGGGATTACAGGCGTGAGCCACCATACCCGGCCATGAGCATATTCCTAACATAATCTGTATGACCCTGGCAGTCTGTGTGGGCAGAGCGGCGGGCTGCAGTGCTGTACTCTACATGGGCTGCATTGATGGTGATACCCCAGCTCGCTCCTCCAGGGCATCGCCAATCTCCTCAGCAGCCAAAAGTCCCGGCAGCTGTGAGAATGAGTCCCTGGATCCTGTGGGGGACTCTGCGTGGCAGAGCACAGCATCCAGACACCATGGTAGCCATGCCAATTCCAGGTCTGATGGCCCTAGCCCACCTATAATTTTCTTTGTGTTCTCTGCACACTTGTGCCAAGCTTTGGCTAATAGCCCCAAGAGACACGTATGTAAATACCTTGAAATTTTGAGGCGAGGTGGGTGGGCTCGGATGAGTGTCTCTTTTGAAAATTAGATCCCTCTAAGCTTCTGCTGAAAGGATTCCTGCCATCTGGAGCAGGGTGTGGGTGCTGATGAGGAAGAGTAACATCTCCTGGAAGCCTGGCCCTTCTCAGGGAGTGCTGAGAGATGGGCACAATCCTCCTTCCACGTTCCCCCTCAGGGACACTGGGCTTCTATGCACTGGGCTCAGGGAAGGAGTGGGCAACAGGCTGTCTACCAGCCGCAGCAGTCTAGGCAGAGGCTTTCCCTCTCTTCTTGGGCATCACAGACACTCCGGGCTCTGCCATTTCCATCTGCTTGAGGGCATTCTTTTTTTTTTTTTTTTGAGACGGAGTTTCGCTCTTGTTACCCAGGCTGGAGTGAAATGGCGCGATCTTGGCTCACCGCAACCTCCGCCTCCTGGGTTCAGGCAATTCTCCTGCCTCAGCCTCCTGAGTAGCTGGGATTACAGGCACGCGCCACCATGCCCAGCTAATTTTTTGTATTTTTAGTAGAGACGGGGTTTCACCATGGATGGTCTCGATCTCTTGAGCTCGTGATCCACCCATCTCGGCCTCCCAAAGTGCTGGGTTGAGGGCATTCTTAACCATCGCTTAACCATCGCTGGGTTGAGGGCATTCTTAACCATACAATGGGCCTCTGACCATTATATGCTAAAGCCCATGGACCCCTTCTCAGAGTAATAAGTGAATAGATTAAAATACAGAACTGGCCAGGCGTGGTGGCTTACCCCTATAATCCCAGCACTTTGGGAGATTGAGGCGGTTGGATCACCTGAGGTCAGGAGTTTGAGACCAGCCTGGCCAACATGACAAAACCCCATCTTTCCTGAAAATACAGAAATTAGTCCGGTGTGGTGGTGGGCACCTGTAGTTTCAGCTACTGAGGAGGCTGAGGCAGGAGAATTGCTTGAACCTGGGAGGCGGAGGTTGCAGTGAGCTGAGATTGCGTCACTGCACTCCAGCCTGGGTGACAAAGCGAGACTCCATCTCAAAAAATAAAATAAAATGCAGAACTTACAAAAGGTAAGTATGTAAAATAAAATACGGACACTTAACAAAAGAAACCAATTTTGTTGGAAAAGAGACGTAAAAATGTTGTAGTTAAACATATTTGTAATATAGTAACGCATGTTCCTTTTTTTCAGGTTCACAGATAAGGCAGCAGAAATCCATATCTAACAGCAGCCAACATGATTGTAATATCAAAGCACGGATGAACGTAGATGATACTCTGAGACATCTGTGACAGCTGTAATGGGATCTAAAATTATTTGTAATTTTTCTTGGGTTCAAAGTACTACTGATATTACTGTGCTTTGTGGCCTGAGACAGCTGTCCTTATCCAAGCTCATAGACACCCCTGAATTGTATCTGTGGACCTTCTAGGGGTCCAGGTTCAGAACTCTTGTTTAGTGAATTGAGTCAGAAGAAGCTGAGCCAGCCTTGGAGCCAGGAGCTGGACTTTGCAGCCAGCAGTATCTCCTTGCACCTTTCAGCAGCTGCAGGGCTGGTGACTGGCGGTAGCAGTCACTCGGCATGCCTCACCATATGGCCTGGGATTGGTAATTACTTGTGTATCATTCATCCCTCCCTCCATCTGTCTATCTATCCATGCATGCATCCACTCAACAAATGTTTGTAGAGCATGACTCTGTGGGTTCCAGGCTGATGGAAGAGAAACACACCAAGAAATTACAGTTGAATAGTGTGCATGCTAACACAGAAGCATGAACTGAGGGAGGTGGAAGCAAGGATGGGGGCTGGAGGGCATCCCAGGCAGAGGGGACGGTGTGTGCATGGCCTCAGAGGTACGTAAGAGAGCACAGACAGTGCAGTGAAGAATTCTGCTTAGCCGTGTCCCCATGGATGACCAGCTGGACAGAGTGGCAGACAGGGGCCAGGGAAGGCATTTGAGCAGGGAGAAGGTCAGTCATTCCTATGCTTTGGAGAGATCTCCATGGAGAGGGACACAAGGAAGGTGAATTGAGCTGGTCTGGTCCCCAAGAGAAGGGAACAGACGTTTGACCATTAGGAACCTTCTGATACATCTTGCCTGGAGCCAAAACTGAGACAGGTTGGGCTGCAAGGAACAAAGATGCAAATAGATCTGCTGTGGAGGGGACTTGACTGTCCGCAGAAGTCTGTCGGGACTGCTCTTTGTTGGAACAGGCGAAAATCCAAGGGATTAAAAGGAGGTGGTGGCTTGTGGGTTGAGTTAGCATTAATGCCAGTGAAATACAGCCTTTGAAGTCACCCAGCTGATCTTTCATCTTGAAAGCTGTTACAAAACCAGAAAATTAATGGCAAATCATTTAAAAACAGCTCAGTAGCTCTCAGAGCTTTATGTCAGCCTCGCCCTCCGGAAGCCAAGCTGTAGCTGTGGCTGGTGACCACTGACGCCTGGGCTCGGCTTTCCAGAAGCAGAGAGTGGGGCAGGAACACTGCTCCTTCTTCAGCCTCTGCTCCGCTGCCTGGTTGATGTATTTCTCAGGCCTTCCTCCAGGGTTGACTGGATGTATCTGTGCTGCAGATTAAGTGTCTTTCCCCAGGGAGTTTGTCCTCTGGCACTGGCAGACGCCTCTGCCTGCTGAGCGAGGAGGTGTGTTTGGGCCAACTTCAGGAGGAGCTTTGGAATCTGCTGGGCTCCATGTTTCATAACAAGCCCGAG